GGAACTATTCTAAAGAGAAATGTCATGCCAGGGAGATTCCAGGGTGTGTTCCATGCCCTCAATGCAAGATAAAACAAAAAGGCACCAACAATCCTGCTATTGCTTGTAGTGGCTCCCCTTAAAAGCCCAAGGTAAAATACAGGAAAGACTTTCTTTTTCAAACTTCAGAATTCATTTCAAGAGGTTTGGATCTCTTTTTAGAAAATGTGGAATTTGAGTGTGTGTGTGTGAGAGAAATAAGAACAAATGCTGGTTGAAGTGTCTGGCATTTCCAGTGTTCCTGAAATGATTATTTATTCATGAAAATGTCTTCTTAGTTAAGTCATTAAAGCTAACAGCAGAGATTGGTCTGTTCCCTCCTCATGTGTCAGGGGTGCTGTCCTTAGGCAACTCTGAAGACCCAAAGTGGCAGAATCAAATTAAGCAGCGAAGTTGAACCAAATTAAGCACTGTTTATTAATTATTTATTTATAGCTCACCATATTCTAGAAGGATTTATGGCAGTTAGAATTTCATCTCCAGGGTTGAGAAACAGAATAATATGTTTATAATTCAGTTATATTTACTATATGTATTAAACAGATCTCCTGGAATAAAAGGAATATTCTGATATTACTTGGGGCAGCTAATAAGAGGAAAGTAACATCATGTGTGCATCTCTCTGCCCATTCATCGCTCTATCCCAGGACAAATGAAAAAAGCTATAGTTAATTTGATCTCCTAAACTCAGATTACAATAATTTTTTAAAGTACTATCATGGAGAATAAAGATATGTTTTAGTTAGAGAGCTAAAAGCTAAATATTAAAATGCTATTTTTAAGTGCTATTAAGGTTGATCTGTTTATAAATATGCTACTTCAGTGAACTTGGAATCATTTGGTTTCCAAAAAATCCTCCTTTGGAATTTTAAGGCACATATAAGGAAACTTAAAAAAAATCAATACTATGGGATGACTAAATTTCTACTTTCTGAATGATTTTACAAGTATAAAACCTTCCTGATCAGTAAAAACAGTATCAGTGGTTCTCAAACATTGGTGGACATCAGACTCACCTGGAAGACTTGATAAAACACAGATTACTGAACCACAACCCCAGTGTTTCTGATCCTGTAGTAGGTCTGGGGTGAAGGCTTAGAATTTTTATTTCTTACAAGTTTCCAAGTGATGCTAATATGGCTGGGTTGGGGACCACATTTGAGGACCACTGCTTTGTATATGGTCAGAGACAACTAAGGTTAATTAACGTTATCACCTGGAAATCTTGCTGCTCTAGTGGACTGACTAAACATTTACTTACATAAACACAACTACTGACAGAAATACAACAAAAGTTCACCAACCATTTAAGCAGCTAGAACAAAATTTAGATTAAAATGTCAGAAGAAAATACTACAAATACAGGGTATATGCCTATGAAATATATAACTGAATTATTTAAATGTCTTAAATGTTAGAACATTAGTTTATTTTCAGAAGTTTTGCTTCCTATTAGGAATAGATCCTTAAAATTCCTTTCATATCAAATAAAAACAGAGGACTTTCATATTAAGTAAAAAACAAAAAAAGAGGCTGTTTATTTCTTATGTGTTTCTAATACTCTGTAATATTTAGAAAGTTCTTACGAGACCAGTATATTTATTAACCAGATAACTTTTGTATTGTGCAATTCTAGAAATAATTTGGGAAGAATAAATTAACTTTTAACAATAATAAAATCCTATCTTTTTTTCAATAATAGATAAACATTAATAAGTTAATTATCTCCTTCAGCAAACATTGATGTAGTTGGGTCGTTATGTTGACTGCTAAGAGAAATCTTGGTTTTATAAATCTGACAAAAGTTAAAGCTTAGTATGCTTTATTTTTTCAAATAATTGGTTTGTAGACAATTGGTGCTTCATATTTGATGAATAAAGGAAATTAGGTTATAATAAAGCAGAGCTGTCAATATTTTCCCCACAATATGGCCTTCAGAAAATCTGTAAATGTATATACAAATTTGGAAATGCAAATGACTTGTTTCCCTGCCTCTCTTGAAATATGCTGACCTTGGCTAAAAGATAACAAATATTATTAAAAAGTACAAAGCCTGTGAGATAATTGTATATATTTTTCCAAGAACAAACCAATCAGATTTGTTTTCTCTCCCCATTTTGCTATACTACAGCCTCACAGTCTACCTAAACACCTCTGGAGGGAGCTTTGTACCTTTCAGGACATTATTGTTTGAAGACAATCTGTAACTTGGCTACAGTCTTGAGTAGCAAAATGCTACAACCCTGAAGAGGTCAAAGATGCTGTTCCTCTGGTTTGCTTGTAGATAGGACACCTTGTTTACAGCAGTTACAAAATCCAAAATAAGCTAATCATAAGCTAGTAATGTCCACTAACTATGAACTATACATTCATAGTTAAGCATGTATAAAGCTTTGATGACAATTGCAAAGAAGTTGTGTTTGTGAGTTTCCTGAAGTGCCAGGAAAGCTGCATATAACAGGCAGTGCAGTAAAGCAGGAGTGTGGAATTGGAAGACGGACTTCCTCAGGATGAAACCTAACTGCCACTTCCTGGTGTTGTGAACTTGCGCAAGCTGTTTAATATTCTTTTGCCTGAGTTCTTCATCTCTAAAACACAGATTCAGGAAATAATCGTACCTTTCTCATATAGTTGCTGGGAGAATCAAAAAGGTTAATATATGTAAAATGCTTATGTAAGTCCCTGACTATTTGGTATTATGCATATCGTACATATATATGTATAATATTATTTATATATTTTATTATATAAACATAAAATATTTTATATTTACTCATAAAATATATATGTATTATAATGAATAGTATATGAGTTTCAGCAAGTATCATCACTTTTTATTTCCTTCATTTTTTTTTTTTTTTTTTTTTGTGACGGAGTCTCGCTCTGTCGCCCCGGCTGGAGTGCAGTGGCCGGATCTCAGCTCACTGCAAGCTCCGCCTCCCGGGTTCACACCATTCTCCTGCCTCAGCCTCCCGAGTAGCTGGGACTACAGGCGCCCGCCACCGCGCCCGGCTAGTTTTTTGTATTTTTTAGTAGAGACGGGGTTTCACCGTGTTAGCCAGGCTGGTCTCAAACTCCTGACCTGGTGATCCGCCCGTCTCGGCCTCCCAAAGTGCTGGGATTACAGGCTTGAGCCATCGTGCCCGGCAATTTCCTTCATTTTTATGATCATTCTATGGTTCTCTTTATTTCCTATCCTATCTTATATCCAGTTTCAGTGCTGCCCAATTTCTACTGACTCCATTACTCTTATCCCTAAAACCTTAATTCTAAAGTTAGACATTACCTAAATATAAACTGTTATAATATTCTTAAACATTGTAATACTAGTTAAAATCATTCATTAATTCACTGCTTTACTGAAACACAGATACAAATGTCTCATTTTTATCATTTTATCTTCTTTTTGATGAGTAGATTTGGACCTTAATACTAATTTACTAATACTTACTTAATACTAATTCACTCTGATATAGACTGAAACACAGGATAATGAAAGTTTAAGTATCATATACTTGGTGGAAGTTAAATGTTTATATAAAATGGATACCAAATGGAAATAAAATGTTTCTCCATTTTGTGCATTTACAATGATCCCAATATCTTGCATCTTCTTTTATAATAAATATATTTCCTAGGCTAATTTTCAGACCTTGAAGCCTTGGAGACCACTGAAATTAATAAATTCGTTGTAGCTCCAAAAGTTTCTTGGCTGATCATTACATTGCCTGGCTGCAATGGGGAAAGGGCCATTGCTGATACTTGTGTATTTACCAATCTTCTTTAATCATAATGAAAGAAGATGAAGGTGTCATGGAAAGTGGCTTTTGTGTAATGCCATCAACTGAAATGATTTCCATTAGCCTTCACAGGCATTCACAGGAATCAGACATTAGAAAAATCCCTCCTAATTCAAGATTTGGACTATCCTTCTTGTATTCAACTGGTACTTGTGGTGAAGTAAATTATTGGCCCTAATTACCTACGTACATCGATGATCATTGCCATGTAACTGCAAGTTCTCCCACTCAAGGTGAAGTCTGCTCCCGTCACTTTTCTTTGGGCTTGACCATTTGGTGTACTTTGACCAACAAATGTGGATGAAAGTGCTAATGTGACATTTCTCAGCCTAGCCTTTTGTCTTGCTCAACTGCTACTGCCATGAGAGGAGCTTCCACTGAGAAGCTATTTCCCTCTCAGTCTGGTTCTCAGAATATGCACATGTGGAAGAGAAGAAAGCCTGACTTTTAGCAATAAGCCAATTCCTGTGGTATGTGCAACCTGAGCAGGGTTTTTCATTAAAGTCCAGTCCAAATCAGCTGATCCTTGAGTGACCTGCATATATCTGAGAAACATTATTGTTGTATGCCACTGATATTTTATGATCATCTGTTACATAACAAAAGCTGACTGACATACATTTAGTTTCAGGATTATCAAAAAGGCATTATCTTTTCAAAAATGCTAGAAATAATTCCAAAGATAATTGTGCCAGATGACATACTTGTATATACATTGTGGATGGAATTAGCAAGATTATTTTTAATGCCAATGACATTTATGAATGCTAATTATGAAACACTATCACATATAATTAATAAAGGAAATTTATATTTTGTGTTCCCTAAGTGGCACTATAGGAAAATACGTAACATGTGCTCATTAAGTTTGTGGTTATGATTTTAATCACTGAAATGATGTCAATGAAATTGTATAACTGAAAAATTCAACCAACCAAATAACTATAAATTGCATTTTTTGATTGATGGATATTAGAATTTATAAGGTATCTCTAGTGACTTAATTGTATACTATTTGACAATAGTATAACTATTACATATTATATATTATATATTATATATATATTAAATATTATAAATATTTAATCAACAGAATTGAAACAAGTATTTGTTGAAAAACGAAGATTTTAAACAACTAATAGTATTTTCAAAAGAGCTCGACAAATGTATTGGCCATATGAAATTGAAATAAAAAACAATTAAGTTTCCAAATGTTAAAAAAATTCTACTTCTATATGATTCTCATCTAAGATGAAAGCAATGATGTAAGTTCAACTATGTAAGAAAAAGTTTTTAAAATTGCATTTATGACCACTTATATTCCAACACTTTGTGTTGATAATGCAACTAAACTTTAAAAATCTCTTTGATTACCATTTAGCATCAATTGCATGGAAATCTTTCACAACTTCAGTATCTTTTAAGAGACAGACAATTAATGGTCCATTTTACAGAATAATAGAGCTAAACTATATTGAGTGAAATAAGATATAGTTACATGGGAATAACGATGGCATTACCAACTGAAACTGACTGATTTTAGTATAGAAATATGATTCATAAAATTTCATACAATTTAACCATTAAGTTGAATTGATAATTATATTTAGAGATCAATTCTAAAATGCTAATTAAAATACTATTGAAAATCTTTTCAGTATGAGATTTTCATATATTCCACTTTATTATGCTTCAAACGTGGTAAACTGCTAAGGAATGGAGTTATTTTTAAGAGATTCTATCTGTGCTGAGTTCAAAAGAATGCCCACTCTCCATAAATAAATAGTAAACAAAGGAAATGCATCAGAAAGTTGGAAAATAGTTTCATCATGCTTCTGAAGAAATTTCTTGATTTCTTGGTCATCATGACCTATACTTGAAGTGTTGCCTTCTTTGGTTTCCTTTTGAAGAAGCTGCTCCAGAACCCAGAACAGGTAGAAAATGTTTTCATAGCGTGACACATCATAACTCGCTTGCTCCTACAAATAAACAACAAACTCCTTTAAAAAATTGGCTATAAATTACCTAAGAAAAATGTCATATGAAGATACCAGATTTTCAGGCAAAATAAAAATATTTGATATATTTAAAACCTTCTGTCATCCTGTCACTGGTGAACAATGGGGAAATTTAAAACATTTCCTTTTTTCAAAGACTTTACAATCATGGTGAATGACTTCTCTTTCTTGCTAGTTCATGAAGCTCCAAATCCCTTCCCTGCATTCTTGCAGAGAATACGCAAATGAATCTGAGAATACCTGGCAAGGAGTCTTACCAATGACTTGGCAAGGAGTCATACCAGTGCTAAATTCAGTCTTTTGCCAAAACTTTTTAATTCATGGGACTTATTTTGATTGATATAAAACAATCCTAGAGTAGGTAGAGTCATAGTCTGTAGGTGACAAGATGTGATATCATATTGAATCTTCCTGATACAACTCAGGGAGGAGTAGCATTGAATCATATACACAGTCATGAGAAGAAATGTAGATGCATCTTGTAGAACTTTTAATTTGGCCTAGATGCTTGAATGTGAGATAGATAAGTCACAGAAAGGCCTAAAAACTAGATAATAGCAAGCATAAGATGAGAGAATGGCAGAATCAGTATAAAAATGAAAACTGGCTTTATCATTAGCTAATTAATTATGAAATGTGTCAGAAGCCCGATGAAGTGAGCAGATTGCTTATCACTATTCTACAGTCAAGGAAATGGATCCTCTGAAAAGTAGACTAATTAGAACTCAAATCTGCAGATGCTAACCAGGGACTTTTTTTTTTTTATTTTCCTGATACATTTCGTTCAAGTTCATTAAGAAAGTATTAACATTGGGAAAAAAAGAAAACTCTTTTAGAACCATTTACGAAATATATTCACTGTATTAATACAAAAATGAAAGAACATTGTTTCAGAGTTGAGACAAATATATTCTTCAACAAGGTGACCCAATAAGCAGAGTAAGATATATACAGGCATACCTCATTTTAGTGTACTTTACATTATTGCACCTCCCGGATACTGCGATTTTTTCAAATTGAAGATTTGAGGCAACCCTGCATCAAACTAGTTTATCAGAGTCATTTTTCCAACATGTGCTCACTTTGAGCCACATATTGGTAATTATCACAATATTTCAAATTTTTCATTGTTACTTTATCTGTTACAGTGATCTGTGATCAGTCATCTTTGATGTTACCACTTTAATTGTTTTGAGATACCACAAACCATGCCCACATCAGATGGCGAACTTGACTGATAAGTGTGTGTGTTCTGACTGCTTCACCAATTGGCCATTATCCATCTCCCTTACTCTCCTTAGGCCTCCTTATTCTCTGAGACAAAACAATATTGAAATCAGGCCAATTAATAACCCTACAAATGGTCTCAGAGTGTTCAAGTGAAAGCTTGCCTATGTTTCATTTTAAATCAAAAACTAGAAATCATTAAGCTTAGTGAAGAAGGCATGTCAAAAGCTGAAACAGGCCAAAAGCTAGGACTCGTGCCAAAGTTAACCAGGTTGTAAATTCAAAGAGAGTTCTTGAAGGAAATTAAAAGTAAAGTGCTATTTCACTGAACACACAAATAATAAGAAGGGGAAACAGCCCGATTGGTAACACGGAAAAAAATGTAGTGGTCTGAATGCAATATCAAACCAATCACAACATTCACTTAAGCCAACACCTGAACCAGAGAAAAGGTCTAACTCTTCAATTTTATGAAGGCTGAGTAAGGTGAGGAAGCTACAGAAGAAAACTCTGAAGATAGCAAAGGCTGATTCATGAGGCTTAGGGAAGAAGCCACCTTCATAACATAAAATTACAAGGTGAAGCAACAAATGCTGATACAGAAGCTGCAGAAAGTTATCAAGAAGTTACAGGTAAGATAATAAAAGAAGGTGGCTACACTAAACAACAGTTGTTCAGTGTAGATGAAACAGCCTTCTGTTGAAAGAAGATGACATCTAGGAATTTTGTAGCTACAGGGGATAAATAAATGTGTGTCTCTGCATGCGAGATGGGTCTCCTGAATACAGCAAACTGATGGGTCTTGACTCTTTATCCAATTTGCCAGTCTGTGTCTTTTAATTGGACCATTTAGTCCATTTACATTTAAGGTTAATATTGTTATGTGTGAACTTGATCCTGTCATTTTGATATTAGCTGGTTATTTTGCTTGTTAATTGATGCAGTTTCTTCCTAGCATTGATTGTCTTTACATTTTGGCATGTTTTTGCAATGGCTGGTACCGGTTGTTCCTTTCCATGTTTAGTGCTTCCTTCAGGGTCTCTTGTAAGGCAGGCCTGGTGGTCACAAAATCTCTAAGCATTTGCTTGTTGTAAAGGATTTCATTTCTCCTTCACTTATGTAACTTAGTGTGGCTGCATATGAAATTCTGGGTTGAAAATTCTTTTCTTTAAGAATGTTGAATATTGGCCCCTATTCTCTTCTGGCTTGGAGAGTTTCTGCCGAGAGATCTGCTGTTAGTCTGATGGGCTTCCCTTTGTGTGTAAGTTGACCTTTCTCTCTGGCTGCCCTTAACATTTTTTCCTTCATTTCAACTTTGGTGAATCTGACAATTATGTGTCTTGGAGTTGCTCTTCTCGAGGAGTATCTTTGTGGTCTCTGTATTTCCTGAATTTGAATGTTGGCCTGCCTTACTAGATTGGGGAAGTTCTCCTGGATGATATCCTGAAGAGTGTTTTCCAGCTTGGTTCCATTTTCCCCCTCACTTTCAGGCACACCAATCAAATGTAGATTTGGTCTTTTCACATAATCCCATATTTCTTGGAAGCTTTGTTCATTTCTTTTTAGTCTTTTTTCTCTAGACTTCTCTTCTCATTTCATTTCATTCATTTGATCTTCAATCATTGATACTCTTTCTTCCAGTTGATTAAGTCGGTTACTGAAGCTTGTGCATTTGTCATGTAGTTCTCGTGTTATGGTTTTCATCTCTATCAGTTCTTTTAAGGTCTTCTCTGCATTGATTATTCTAGTTATCCATTCATCCATTCTTTTTTCAAAGTTTTTAGTTTCTTTACACTGGTTGTGTAGATTCTCTTTTAGCTCTGAGAAGTTTGATTGACGGAAGCTTTCTTCTCTCAACTCATCAAAGTCATTCTCCGTGCAGCTTTGTTCCGTTGCTGGTGATGAGCTGCGTTCCTTTGGAGGGGAAGATGAGCTCTGATTTTTTGAATTTCCAGCTTTTCTGCCCTGCTTTTTCCCCATCTTTGTGGTTTTATCTGCCTTTGGTCTTTGATGATGGTGACATACTGATGGGGTTTTTGTATGGGTGTCCTTTCTGTTTGTTAGTTTTCCTTCTAACAGTCAGGACCCTCAGCTGTATGTCTGTTGGAGTTTGCTTGAGGTCCACTGCAGACCCTCTTTGCCTGGGTATCAGCAGCAGAGGCTGCAGACATAGAATATTGCTGAACAGCGAGTATTGCTGTCTGATTCTTACCCTGGAAGTTTTGTCTCAGGGATGTATCCCGCCGTGGGAGGTGTAAGGTGTTGGTCTGCACCTAGTGGGGGATGTCTCCCAGTTAGGCTACTCAGGGGTCAGGGACCCACTTGAGCTGGCAGTCTGTCCATTCTCAGATCTCAACTTCTGTGCCGGGAGATCCACTGCTCTCTTCAAAGCTGTCAGACAGGGGCATTTACCTCTGCGGAGGTTTCTGCTGCTTTTTGTTTAGCTATGCCCTGTCCCCAGAGGAGGAGTCTACAGAGGCAGGCTGGCCTCCTTGAGCTGTGGTGGGCTCCACTCAATTCAAGCTTCCTGGCAGCTTTGTTTACCTACTTAAGCCTCAGTAATGGTGGGCGCCCCTTCCCCAGCCTCGCTGCCATCTTGCAGTTAGATCTCAGACTGCTGTGCTAGCATTGAGGGAGGCTCCATGGGCATGGGACCCTCCCGGCCAGGTGTGGGATATAATCTCCTGGTATGCCCTTTGCTAAGACTCTTGGTAAAGTGCAGTATTAGGGTGGGAGTTACCCGATTTTCCAGGTGTTGTGTGTCTCAATTTCCTTTGGCTAGGAAAAGGAATTCCCTTCCTTCTTGCGCTTCCCAGGTGAGGCGATGCCTTGCCCTGCTTCAGCTCTTGCTCGTCAGGCTGCACCCGCAGACCAGCGCCAACTGTCCGACATGCCCCAGTGAGATGAACCCAGTACCTCAGTTGAAAATGCAGAAATCACCCATCTTCTGTGTCACTCATGCTGGGAGCTGGAGGCTGGAGCTGTTCCTATTCGGTCATCTTGGGCATGCCCCTGTGCCACAATTTCTTAATCCAGTCTGTCAATGATTGACATTTGTTTTGGTTCCAAGCCTTTGCTATTGTGAATAGTACTGCAATAAACATACGTGTGCATGTATCTTCATAGGAGCATGATTTATAATCCTTTAGGTATATACCCAGTAATGGGATAGCTGGGTCAAGTGGCACTTCTAGTTCTAGATCCTTGAGGAATCACCACACTGTCTTCCACAATGGTTGAACTAGTTTACAGTCCCACCAACAAAAAAAGTGTTCCTATTTCTCCACATCCTCTCCAGCACCTGTTGTTTCCTGACTTTTTAATGATTGCCATTCTAACTGGTGTCAGATGGTATCTCATTTCAGTTTTGATTTGCATTTCCCTGATGGCTAGTAATGATAAGCATTTTTTCACGTGTCTGTTGACTGCATAAATGTCTTCTTTTGAGAAGTGTCTGTTCAAATCCTTTGCCCACTTTTTGATGGGATTTTTTTTTCTTGTAAATTTGTTTGAGTTCTTTGTAGGTTCTGGATATTAGACTTTTGTCAGATGAGTAGATTGCAAAAATTTTCTCCCATTCTGTAGGTTGCCTGTTCACTCTGATGGTAGTTTCTTTTGCTGTGCAGAAGCTCTTTAGTTTAATTAGATCCCATTTGTCAATTTTGGCTTTTGTTGCCATTGCTTTTGGTGTTTTAAACATGAAGTCCTTGCCCATACCTATGTCCTGAATGGTA